GGTACGATGAGCTCTGTAGATTAAAGGACCCTATAGGTTGACCCAATTAGACAAAATAATGTAATTTACAAAATATCCTGCAATGACTGTGAATGTGGTCAACTGCATAGGTCAAACTAGTAGATCAGGAGTAGTCAGATTGTCGGAACATAAGAACTTAGTGGCTAAGGTAAGAATGGTTGACCCCGCGGAGACAGATGAATAATTTAGAAAAAAGCTCAGCACTGCATTGCACTACATGCACTAACACAAAAACACACAATAGGGTAGGAGGGACAGAGTTAGAATTCTAAAACGTAATATAAGTAGACGGGTTGAGAGCAGGAGAGCGTGATTACTGAGTCCTGGCTCATCAAGTCTACACCCAACATGTACAATAGGATTGACTCACCACTCATACCAGAAATATGCAATATACGACTACCAATCAAATCAAGCGATGAAAATTAATGATGGAATTATATCCACGAATTTAGAAAGTTGTGTGAGTAACTTGACATGATATGATTATGAGCTGCAGTAATAAATTGGGGTGCTTAAAATGTGGTCATCAATAAATATTACTGTATAACAGTCAGTGAGACATTACCAAAGTAAATTTTATCCACAGTGGGAGTATATACTACTGATTGGCTGATGTGAGTAGTTGTATACGATTCACATTGACACTTAGTGATTGCCAGTCAGATCGAGATGAACGAAACATCACTTTATGAAAATATGCTATCAAGCAGATCACACATCGTGATCTGAATCATTTGGTTTCTAAAAGAAACTGTGGTAAAAATTTCACCTCATCGAGCTGTGTGCATTGCAATCTGTGGATGTGACTCATGTTCACACAAGTTCACCCGATGACCTCGACCGTAAACCGAGCGAAACAGCCGTCCGGTGTTCAAATCACCCCGATTTGGCTGGTTAATTCGACTGAAACAAAGTAATCTACACCTATCTAAAACAATTTCTGAAGTTCTTTCGAAAACATCTAAAGCTCGTTGAGCGTTAATTGACCATTGGATTTTAACTTTCTACACTGATTGTCCTCAGTTAAATTCCACATGGGTTCATGGATATGTACTACATAGCGAGTTTCGAAATAGGATAAAGGTTCTGTTTGTCTATATTTGTTTTACAAAGAAATCTATTTAAAACAATTAGTTCGCTTTATGAATTTAGATATAGCTATAAGAAGACGTAATTTGTCTGAACCGTGTATTGGGTATTTGCTTAACACATTTCGAACAATCTGATCACACTCCACGGAATTGTCATACAAATGTGTATATATGAATGAAATTAATAAAGAGTTAAGAGGTGAGAAATAGAAATAGACTTAGTTAAGTCAAGTTAAAAGGACACATTGAAGGTGAAAATAACAATGAAGGTCAATCACTAAACCGAATAGCAGAGGTAATCAATAGTACATCTGCTCTGGATGGTATCACAACAAAGGTTACCAAGGGAATAAGGTTCCTCTTCAGAGGAATCCAACGAATGCACGAATGCACTGAAGACAGACACACTTCATGAGGAGGGAAGAAAGAAAGTTGACACAAACTCTGGTCAATAACAATTATCCAGACAAGTTGATCGATCAGGAGATATAAAGTAGTAGTCAGAAAACAAAGACCCACTCACTCTCCAACTCGCCCTTAAGAAACACGTGTACATCAAGCCACCCATCCTCCCTATATGGGACAGGCATCATAGCAGGTAGCTTGATAACTAGACAAAGATTGAAGGCTGTTGTTAAGAGAAAAGACTTTTTATGCAGCTAATATCATAATAATTGAGAATATGAAGCCAATATATCCATCTATCGATCCATCCATTTAAGCTCTTTGAACATGCGAAAAATGATGTCACATCCCACTGTTGTATTTACCAATTTGAATGTACGTGTGGCCACACACACACACATACATAGGGAGGACTCGTCGACGATCTCTGCAAGTAAGGACTGCCTGGCTGGCTGGCTCCACAGCATATTCCGAAATGGCTCCAGAAGCAAATAGGAGCAAACAGAATCAAATCCCCAGAATCCATTAATGTTGAGAACAGACGACAACCTACCTCCTCTATTGCGAAACATATTAGAGAGGAGACAGGACATACAATTGATGTCAACATATCTTTTAAAACTACCCATCTATAAAAGGTGTTTGGGGGAGGGCGTATCCTAAAGTTTGTGCAAGGAAGCCCTAGCTGGCAATTAGAAAGTTTAAACCACCTTTATGCGTTCAAAGCAACAATTCGTCATCATCACACTTAACCATCTTCCTTGGTAAACTTTGTTTTGATACCAGCCAGGGTAGATGTGCGTCGGCGGTATAGCGGTTAGGACGCTCGCCGGCCATGCACATGGTTCGGGGTTCGACCCCCGGTCGGCACATTCCTTTACCTCACTAAGCCACTAATAAAGTTGGTAAAGAGGAAAGGTTGGGCATGAGGCTAGCAACCCCATCCTGTAAAATAAACACTGCTACAGAAACTTCAAGGCAGTAGCTTGAAGCCCTATGTTCCACTGGGGAACGTGAAGGAAAAAAAAGGGTAGATTTACTATTTATTACCTCTGTTATTAGATTTAGTGATTGATCTTCATTGTTATTTTCCCCTTCAATATTTGCTTTCAACTTGACTTAATTAGGTCTATTTCTATTTCTCACCTCTTAACTCTTTATTAATTTCATTCATATATACACATTCCTATGACAAGTCGGTGTATGTGATCAGATTGTTCGAAATAAGTGTTGCGCAAATACACATTACACGCATGATTCAGACAAATTACGTCTTCCTTCTTATTGCTTTATCTAAAGAAATCTATGTTGGAATCCAATCTCAGCTCCCCCTCCACTATTAAGAATAACCTTCTGAATGAACAGAATATAAAACAAGGCCTTATTTATGTATTTATTCTTTATTCATACTTTCTATTCACTCGTAATAAATGTTCCATCTGATCTTCCTACCATCACTCCTTTGATCCTTTCGTCTTCTATTAAAAATAAAAACAGACAAACAGACAAACGAAGACAAGCAAAAACAAAAAGTGCTTCAAAAATGAAAATAATAACAATAATACTACTTATACCAATACTAGTAATATAATAGTAATAATAATAATAGCAATCATAACAATTATAACAAGCTCATTCAAAAAAACAAAAAACAAAATCAAAAACGCTGAAATGACATAACAACAGGGTGTGGCTTTGAAAACGTCCGCACCCCCACCCACACACGCACAACGTGAACAAAGAGAAACAGAGACAGAAAGAGACCAGCTCTTCAGCGCGACAAAAATAAAAGACTTTTAAACTGAAAATGTTAATCAATCGAACCTAATAGTCAGTATTCATAATTAGTATAGTAATAATAACAATAATAATAGTAATAATAACAGTAATAATATGAATAACACAAAATGCTTTGTGCGTTTTGGCAAAGTAGAAGAAGTATCACTGTTTGAGTATGAGAGGGAGAGAAAGAGACATGGAGATGGCGAATAAGTGAGTAAGTGAGTGACTAAGAGGGATACGGGAACCGAGAAATGGAAGGAGTTTAAGCACATTCATTAGGCGTACTATGCTGTCCAGAGCAGACGCAATGCATATATATAGCAAAATATGTGCGTGTGTATCAATTCAATTTGTGAGTATTGTTCAATATGAAAATAAAAAAAAAATACTAACAGGATAATATTAACAGTAATTATTGAGATAACATTTAAATAGGCTTTAAGTAGATAAAGTCATTTCACCCAGTGAAATGGTAGAGAATGATAAAAATATATATCTAAAACTGTAAATATTACTAACAATAGTCACATGTAAGTAGTATGTAAAATAATAACAATAATAATAGTAATAATAATAGTAATACTAATACACAAACACGCATAATAAATAATAAGTTGATGAATCGATCAACGGTTCCATCAATGACTATTTAGAATTCTGTGTGAAGAAGCTAATGAGGGATTTCATAATTGATCCCCCCCCCCCCCAAAAAAAATGCCCCTAAAAATACAGATTATTGAAAAAACAATCAAAAAAACCAAAAAAACTGAAAAATAACTTTTTAGAAAGCAAATAATAAGGAATATTAAGATGCCAAGACCAGTTGGATCAAAATAATCACCCATTGTGTGTTTGTATGTCTCTGTTACAAAAAAATCCCTATAAACAGAAAAGACCACAGAATATTTCGTGCGTATAATTATACTACTATTAAAATAATATAGTAGTATAACAATAGTAGTAAAAGTAATTGCAATAACTAACATAAAGATTCACTAGGTAAAATTTTAATTGTCAGTTAAGAAGTTAGTATTTTAGTTGAATATATATGTATATATATTTCTAGATTCTGTTGAATAAAATAACTAGAAACATCTTGATTTTGACAACAAACAACACTGAATGGAAGCAAGTCTTTTATGCCGTCGTAAAAGGGAACAACAGACAAAGCAATCCGAAGAAAAGATCACAGTCATTACACAATCAAGAGTGCCACCGAATCTTCACTCACTCACTCACTGTTGTGTCTCACTGTCACTACAACATTCTTAAATGTATACATATATACCTAAAAATCAATGATTAGTTTAAAATCAAACAGAATAAACACTGTGTTATAGTGGATAGTTTTGAACACTGAGGTGAAAGGATGGTGGAGAAAACAGGCCAGTGAATGGAAGAATCAGGAAATTAGAAGGCAGTAGAGAATGAAAATAGAGAGAATTTACCTATTGAAAAATAAAAAAACACAAAAGTTTGTGCCGAAAGTAGGAAGAGAAGGAGCAGCAGAAGCAGGAGTCGAAGTAGGAGTAGCGGTACTGGGAGTGGGAGTAGGAGTAGTGTACAACAAGAATATCCGTAGATATCTGTCAAACTGAAATGCATTTATCACGACCTAGTTAAAATAAAATCTAGAGAATTAGAACATTACAACATCAGAGAGAGAGATAGAGATTGAGAGGGATAATCTGCTTAGATGTGAAGACAACATAGACATACAGTGTAGGACTATTTGTAGAGAAATTAGAATCGTCTCTTCTACACCGCTTCGGTCCTTTATTTTTTTTTATCACAGAAACTGGCTTGAACAATGCATTATAGAAAAAAATGAATATTGATTCTCTAAAAATCACCAGATTGATCACCAGTATCATCATCATCATCGTCATAACCGAAACCAGGCGGGAAAAAGTATTGCATCTGTGGTTGTTGAGCAGTTGTCTCGGGTGGTTCTACTGATGGTTCTGGGAATTGTGGCTGTGGTTGTTGTGGTTGTTGTTGTTGAAGTGTTGATGGTCCAGGGAATGAATAACGATGAAATAACGGTGGTGGGTGTAGTAATGGACATTGAGCTATGAGATGAGTAGGATCACGGCATCGATAACAACGACGTCTCATTGGTTCATATGGGCAAGTTGCAGCTTTATGGGAAGCATATTGTCCACAATTATAACAGCTAATTATTTATATTCATGTGTTTTAATAAAAAAGAAAATAGGAAGCGATAAAAGATTAGTTAATTCAAAGCAGAATAATAATTATTCAAGATATAATACTTAGTTATATAAAAATATTTAGAGTGTGGAGTTTGTAAAGAATGAGAGGATTCGGAAGATATGCAGCGAGGAATTCATTGAAGAAAAACTACGTAATCTCCGAACAACCCTGATGGAAAACGGTTTTCCACCTACGTTCGTAGACAAGAATCTCAAATCAAAGAAGACTTCTGAACAAGTACAATCCGTCCCCAAAGAAGATGCTTCTGCCCAATCTAGAATTCAAAGGTGACATTGAAGCAGAAATCCTTCGTAAACGCCTATGCAAATCTCTGAGGAAAACATACTTCAACGCGAGCCTACGACTGACGTTTACCTGCAAGAAAGTGTTCAGCCAGAACACGAAAGACAAGCCATCGCATTGGACCACTTCAACGTGCATATACCAGTTTACTTGCTCTTGTGGAGCTGAGTACAACGGCGTACCATGGGGCAACTTGAAAAACACGCTCGTGAATACTATCCAGCCTGGCTAGTAAAAAGAGAACGAAAACGAGTACATAGTTCAGTGACAGAACATCTGGTCAATTCAGGACATTCAGCACCATTCGAGAAATCCTTCAAAAACATATATAAGATTCGATCAAACCTATCAAGGGGAGTGAAATTAAGACATCTGGGCATAGCCGAGGCACTAGCCATCCAAAAGCTCAAACCCACGCCATGTGTGCAAAAGAAAGACGTCCAACTCTTGTCCCTGACATGGCCATCATAAACAGGTAATTCTTTTAATATTGACAATCCCATCGCCTTTCTTATTCAAACTTCCTGTTTATTCATGTTATTTTTAAGTTTTTCTCAATCCCTCCTATTTATACTACCACATTTTCATATCCGAACTTCCTGTCTATTTTGTCATTTTATTATTTCTACATATTTAATCCCTAAATGCATAAACGATTATTCGTCACATTAGTTATGATCTCACTAGAATTTTTATTCAAACATCCTGCGTATTTTTGTTATTTCTACATTTCTCACCCCTAATAGCACAATATGTCAATCTTCTCAATAATTCTGATGCTACTTTTTTTGAGTTTTATCCGTCCCCCTGTTTATTATGGCATACCAATTCCTAATTGCAATTTTTATTAATTTGACCCTTGACTGGAAATTATTGTGGAACTTTCCCACCCATTTATTATAAATACACATGAATGTACAGCCTAGTTGATGGTGACTTCGTCGAAAAGAAAATTTTCTTCACTGCAACTGTCAGTTTAATAATTCCTATGATCCACTGTGTATATTCCTTAATGAGAGCTTCATCGAAAACCAACACCACTGAAAACGATGAAGCGCTGGATAGCCGTATCACCCTAGTTTTGGAGTCTTCAATCGTCTTTACCCACTACCCTACTCGGTTTGAATACAAGACCTGCAATTAGACCAACGTCAAGGATTTATTCAACCGATTTCGGCTGGAACTCAACAACTCGTGAAGTCTAACTCTGCTAATTCGTGATTTACCAATTCGCTGAAGATGGATATTTAGATTATGGCCTTAGAACTTGAAGGATTCGGATTCATTTGAAGGTGAGGTGAATGCCCGCTAAAGGCAACGATGAGGCAACCGTTAAATCAAAGTTAGAAATCACGGGTCAGTGAATTCTAGCCAAAGTGGCTGTATGGTCTGCAAGTTTCGTCTCGAAACCTGAAGGCCCCAGGTTTGGCTACTGATAGGGTTGTGGGAGCACGACAATGAGGAGAAAAACACGTAAACAGAGAAGAAAATTTTCCCATTCATTTTCTGATTAATTCTCAGGACTTCATTATGAGCTGACACCAGTGAGAGAACCGTTCGAAATCCTGGGAATGCTGGACAGCTGTTTTGTCCTATATTGAGTCATAAGAAAAAGGTGACGTAAACAGCGGAGGAGAAAATTTTCTTTTCGACGATTCATTTTCATAAGCACCTGTACAATCGTAATAATATTTAACAAAGGCTTAGTTTAGAAAGGTTGACTAATTGGAAGTTAGAAAAGAAGCAGAAGTTTGCATGACGTCATAAGCGTGAGAAAATGACGTCAATCCAATTATTCATTCCTTCTTGACTAAACCTTACATTACACATAACACATTTTTTGACGACAAATTTAACCAGTATCTGATTCGTCTTATGAATTCTTTGTTGAATATAATTATGATTGTGCAGCCGCTTATGAAAATAAATCGTCGAAAAGAAAATTTTCTTCTCCACTGTTTACGTCATCTTTTTCTAATGACTCAATATAGGACAAAACAGCTGTCCTGCAATTAAAAGTGTTCTCTGAGCTGGTTCCAGTTCAATACTCAAATATATGAACAAATAAAAGGAACACCAATGGGATCGCCCATATCAGGATTAATAGCTGAAGCCGTTATGCAAAGATTAGAATTAATAGCTCTACCTATAATTAAACCGAAAATCTGGGTACGTTACGTTGATGATGATACATTTGTAATAATTAGGAGTAATGATTTAGAATATCCCTATAAATTAATAAACAACATATTTGAAGACATCAAATTCACAAGAGAAGAAGAATTAGATAACAAAATCCCATTTTTAGATGTCCTAATCAGGAGAACCAACACTGGAGATTTAGAGACACAAGTTTATAGAAAATCAACGCACACAGATCAAATACTCAACGATACTAGCAATAATCCAATTACTCACAAACGAAACTGTGTGCAGACATTGTTTAAAAGAGTTCAAACACATTGTACCACTCCAGAGTTGAAAAGAATGGAAGAAAAGTACCTACAAACGGTCTTCAAAAAGAATGGTTATCCACAAAATTTCATCAAAAAGTGTTTAAAGTCGAATCAAAACATCAACAAGAAACCATCATCAAAGACCACAAGAAAATTCATTCTACCATACATGAGGAATATCTCTGAAATAACAGCCAGAATACTGAAACCGTTAGACATAGATATAGCACACAAACCAGTAAAATCGCTTAATTCGATATTATGCAAACCAAAAGATGCAACAGAAAAAAGGGGATAAAATTAATACCATTTACAAAATAAATTGTATGAACTGTAACAAGCATTTCATCGGCCAAAGTGGGCGTCCCCTTCAAATCAGAATCCAAGAACACAAATCATCCATGAAAAGACACGATATGTATTCTTTAGTAGCAATGCATATAGACAATTATGGTCATCAATTTGATTGGGATAATATCAAAGTCTTAGATAGACAGGGAATTCCTAGAAGCCTGGTACTCAAACTAAAATGCAACTAACAAGCACGTTAATATAGACGACATATACCAACTAATAAAAAGTAAATCAGGTGACCACAAAGTTTAAAATCCAAGTTAATAGAAAATGGTCAATACATATGTAAAGATGGTTACCAGGAGAGGCAATTATATCACTCATGAAGAAATTTAAATCATTTCACTTTATGCTAAATATTGCGCTGAAGATGTTGTCCAGAAGGACGACGTAAGCTCCACAACTAAACCAACCAACCAGCTCAGAGAACACTATTAATTGCAAATCATCCACCTGAGCTACAAATCTTCTCTATTATTTCAAAACAGCTGTCCAGTATTCCCAGGATTTCGAATGGTTCTACAACCGATGCCAGCTCATAATGAAGTCCTGAAAATTGATCATTTCGTGAAATGAACAGATTAAATATTGTAGCAGAAAGACATTTGAAGTCATACAATAAATTTGTGAATATCACCTTGTCAGATACTGAGCACTCCTCTTTATACACACAACTCTTCCCTTGCATCTTACGAGGGAGGGGAACTAGAAGGAATTATAAAAGACTGTATACTCTCACGACTGAGGATTAACAAAATTCATACCTCATACCTACTCAGATTATTCAACAACGCACATACCAATATTGAATTTACTATGGAACATGAAAATGATGGAAAGTTCCATTTCCTTGACATTTCCATGCAACGCCTAGAAGATGGTAGTCTCCAGAGGTCAATTTGCCGAAAGCTGACATGGAATGGACAATTGTTTTTTTAATTCCTTCACGTTCCCAGTGGGACATAGGGCGCCTTCAAGCTAGACGATGGGGTTGTTAGCCTCATGCCCAAAATTTCCTCTTTACCAGCTTTATTACTGGCTAAGTGAGGTAATGGAGCGCATCGACCAGGAATCGAACTCCAGATCATGTGCATGGTCAGCGAGCGTCCTAATCACTGTGCCACCGACAATGGAATGGGCAATACTTACATTTTAATAGCTTGTGTTCAAATAGCTATAAACGAGCATTAGTCAAGACTCCGTACTATAGACTTAAAAAAATAGGCTATGCAGAGAAGCTAGAAGAAGAATTTAAGATTCCCGAAAAGGTGTTGAAAAACAACGGTTATCTTGAAAGATTCATTAACAAATATGGAAGATGTGAAGGCTCAAACATCAAACAAATCACGGCAGGAAAGGGAGCCTGTCTTCATTCAACTCAATTTCAAAGGTGTAAACATTGCAGCAATGGTAAACAGAAGACTGAGTACGTCACTAGCCAGAGCCTATCCTGCAGCCAGCTAAGTTGGTTCCCGTCTATCGGACAGCATACTCTTTGATGCAGTTAAAAGTCAACAGATACCCTTCTTATGTTAACAACTCCAACTGTTTATACAAATTTACGTGTATCTGAGGGAACAGTTACATTAGGATGACAGAAAGAAGAAGGGCACACCTCCGATTTTCTGAACACTTGCCAAAAAGCCTACGTCTTAAGGGAACAAACTCTCATAATAGCGCTATTTTCAGACATCTCCTCGATAGGGGTTATGAGGTGGAAATCGCGAAATCCTTCAAAATTATCAATAAAGAAAAGAGTTCAATTATCCTCAAGTTTGCCCAAGCGATTGCTGCTATCAAACGCTTGAAACCAGATTTACGTGTTCAGAAAGATGCGATTATCACT